AAAGGCATCAATTCTTCGGCGCTCAGCCTTCTTTATGGTCCAGCTCTCACAGCCATACATTGCTACTGGAGTCAGAAAGTTTACAGGATTTTAAATTTGAAGCAGCAGCTGAATTGGAAGCGAAGCTGTTCAGTGCCAGAACAATCTCCAGGAGCCTCAAGTATAGTAAATTTGAGGCTGCAGCACTGATCCTAGAATGGCACAGCCCATGCATGTGGAAGTGATCTGAGATTACAGTGATGCTTTCAGAGACTTTCCCTCTATTTTTCTGAATCTTTCCTCTCCTTCAGCACACTTATCCCACAGAGTCCCCACCACTAAACAAAGTGAACAAGGTGATGGCAGCTCTAAGAAATATTTTCAGTCCACTCAGCCAGCCTGTGAGGTACAGAAAATCTTTTTTTTTCCCAGCTGATTGCCTATGACAGTCATGGGACCTCATAGAGGGTGGAGAGTTGGTATTGAAGATGGTGACAAGTAACACAGTGAATTGTAGTAAATCTTCTCAAATGGATAGGTATTAGGACTTTGAACACTTTCCAAGTGAATTGAAAGAAATGCTTTGGATCTTGCATGAGTGAGAGCACAATACCTCTTTGCTATTCATTAAGGAGCCCAATGTTTTTCAGACATCTACACAAGCCAGAAGAAAAGGTGTCATTGTTTTAATATGATTAATAAGTAGGGTTTTTTTTTTTAAAGTAACGCATTTTTTTGAGGTCATGCCAAAGTCTAAAATAGTCAGGCTGCCTTAATGAATAGCTGAGAGATGTTGTGTTCTCATGAGGTCCAAAGCACTTCCAAATCATTTTTTAAGCCAATGCTTCTCTGGTAGTTATTAGCTGACAGAGTAATTTATTCCAACGATACATCAAAATAAACTAGAAAGTAAAAGAAGTTTTGCTGTGACAATGTTCCTAAACTGGACTGTGATTCTAATAGAAAGGATCCCTGGTTTTATACCTTTATTCCTTTCTATTTAGTTTTGTATATATTCATTTACCAGTTCACTAAAAATTTATATAGAGGCTTAGAATGTACATAAAATGTTACATAAAAAAGACAGGACTGATCAGATAGCAAAAAAACCCTTTCATCTCAAAATTAAATTTTATTTTGATTTTAAACCAATAGCAATTTTAACTGTTTGGTGCTTTTGAATATTAGCCTATTTAATGATATTTTTTCTTGTAAATGCAATATGCTGCTCTCCCATCCATTTAAATATTATCAGGCCAGGATGATTAGGTGTGGCTGCTGGTGCTCTTTCAATTTTGAAGCAAACAAATTGGATGTTAAAATTACAGCATGACAGAAGAGAGATACTCTGCAGTAGTGCAGAGTAGTTGTAGTTCATGATAATCAGTTTTCAACTTACACTGTCAATATGATTAAAGGGTTCCATTATTTAAAGTTCTAATTAACCCATACACATGTGTATGTTTAGTGAGCAAAATGGCATCTACAGCCTATAAGTCTTTCAGTGGATTCTAGCTCTCACAAAATTGTCACACATCTATTTGCAGTACTTTCCTTTGTCTTGCTGATCATTTGAAATCAAACTAGGATGTCTGCTTTGGCACCAGCATTTGGTCAGGAGTGTGGGATTTAGAGTAATACAAAACACAGGTGTATATTATTCAAATTGTGAATATTGTGTGAATTCTAAGTAGGCTCCCTTCTCTGTAGGGATTGTCTAGAGAAGACCCCACTCTGAAAAGAATAAGCTGAATAGCGTTCATTCAGTTTGGATGATTGAAGCTGCAAGATAACTAGCAGAAGCCCCTTTTATATTGAATCAGTCCTTCTTTATTTTCATCTTCATACATTAAAGTAATGTATTATTTTAGAATCAGCAGATTAATTAGTGATTGTCTATACCTTCCTGGAAATAAAACCTATTTAACTAAGAGAACTGTATTGCACAGCATGAGGTAATTTTTATGTGTCCACTGACTATAGTGCACAAGGTATTATTTATAATCTATATTTGAAGATGCAAGAACACAGTAATTTATGTAGTAATTCTGTACCATGTAGCTTTCCTATAAGAGCAACTGTTACCTGATAAACAAACTGACTCAGAAATTCTTGTTATGAAATGAAACAGAGAAGAGCAAGGAACTACTTTACCCTCTGTCTTTCTGCTTGTTGTTGACTAGATTTAGAAGCCAACAACAAGCAGATGGCTTGTTTTAATGGAAATATATTTTTCTTCTGCATTTATTTTCTTTTGCTGTTTTACTATGTCTAAACAGTTTATTTGCTTTAAATAAAATAATGATTAAATTTCATTATACTGATTATTAAGGAATCCCATCGCTGTTCTGTATATTGGAATAATTAGGATATTAAGAAAAATCTAATCTAAACTTCTGTTTAATAGTTTTATATTCTTAATACATTTTATATATTATAGCAGGTTAATGAAGATGATATGAAAATGTGTACGACAATGAGAAAACATTTTATGAATCCCTTCCTTTAATTTAAAAGGGAACAAAAATAACATATGAAATGAGCAATTCTGGCATAGAATCAGCTGGATGTCTGGTTGCTTTACATGTGATTCTTGAGAAGAGACTTATCTTAATGGATGTCATTGTACATTTTCTTTCTCAGCTGAGATCTTTGGTGTACAATTCATATTTTGGAGTGAAGTTTTTTACATGCAACCACTAAATTATTTGGCAGAATCAAATATGCTCCAATGTAAACACTCCCTTTATTCCAATTCTGTGTCTGGATCAGGCTGTCACTTACTCAGGGATAAACATGACTAGAAAGAATATATTCATTTTATTTGCCCAAATGGTAGCCATATAAGACACTTGCTGTTTCTGAGGGACCAGGAATCGTAGTTCAAAATATATTTCAGTTCATTTCAACCCTTTCACAATCTTTTGCAGCACAACCTTCTCCTCTTATCCCTAACCTGCATAGTGTCTATTTGTGGCAGATTGTTGCTTACATTCTCTGCATTTCTGCTCTTGCATCCAGAAGAATCTACCAAGTTTGTCTGGAATCTTCCAGACATCAACTGAGATTGGAAACAGGTTTTCAGGGATGGTCAAGACTAGGCAAAGTATTGACAGCCCTCTGGTGGCCCACAGGGAAACTGCAGATCACAGCGCCAAAATTCAGAGGCAAAACCATTGATTTTCTAGCATGGTTTCCCCTATTTTGTTAATAAAATTTTGCTCCTTAAACCCCTTATATACTGACCCCAAGGCAAAAGATCAGGAAAAAAAACTCTAAGCCCTGCCCATTTTGGTGACCTCTTTTACAACACCCTCTTCGCTCTTTCAGAGACAAAATTGAAACTCAAAAGTGCAGCATGGCTGCAAAAAAAAAAAAGGTTTATCCCTGTATTAGGAATCCTCCTCCTCATTATCATCCTCATCTCCTAGTACTTCGACATTGCCAAAAAGTGCAGCACCTGAGCTGTGGATTAAAATAAGCCAGAAAAGGTGTATTATGATTTTCCATTTGACCATGTGTGTCACTGACATAGCTAGGTGCTAATTTTATTTTATGCTATTTTATACAGAATGTTACAGCTATTTGCCACAATTTGTACTCTTAGCCATTGGAGCCCTCAGGATGATTAGGGCAATGCCTATTCAGTCTTTAGATTCTCCATCATCTCTATGTCCTACCAAAGTTTCTGTCCCATAGTATTACAGCCACACTATTAATAATCAGGTTGAAATACTAGTAGATTTTTTAAAATTAGTGATTTTATATATTGTCTTAGAGTATTTGTATTTAGTCATTTTAGCATTTAGCATTATATATAATTATGTACCTCTTACATGGATGTATATAGTTATATTCATAGTTGATTTTGAAATCATACACACACACACACACACACACACACACACACACAGAGAGAGAGTACTGGTCCTAGGCTTTTACATTTGTGCTAGCACCTTAAATCTTAGTCATTCTTATAGTACATAGGTTAAACTATTAGTTTAATAGAATGGTTTTAATTTTAGTATTGAATGTAAATCTTGCTGGTCAGTGACCAAAATGAGAGACTGACTGACTGCCATTTGATTATAGAAAAAGAGTCATGGACATGTACATACACACACACACAGACAGACGTATCAATCACTGCCCCATTATTTTTGTCACATGCAAAGGCCTTAGAAAAAAGTCTTACATTGTGTACATTCTGTCATAACATTGTAATTGTAAAGGAAGTTCTGATTTTATATTTTTAACTGGTTTCAAGTTGCTATTTTTTTTTTTAAGGAAATGGAAATATGTGTAACAGCATTCCTGGGACCACTCTGTAAATGTGTGAGTGCCTTTCTCTTTCCTTCCTCCCTTCTTTC